ATCAATCATGATGGCATAATATAAAGGATGGTCTTTGCTATCTTGCCGAAGGATGTGGAAAGGTGTTGCACAAGGTCTACAATATTTGCCGTCAAAAGTTCTGTTGAATTTTGTGAGAGAAAAGTTAAGAGATGGATGATTACATCATTGATATGATTGACTGATAGAATTAAATTTAATGATTATGTTAAATGGGTTGTGTGTATCGATCGACCCGTGACATAAAATATTTAAATAATTACATTTTATTTTTTTAATATGTATATTTATTTATTTATATAATTTTTAAATTTTGATTTAAATTTTTAAATTTCTTTGCTAAGTTTACACACACACACACACATATATATTAATAAATATTATATATATATAATATTAATAAATTAATAATAATAATGATAATTTATTTTCCTTTTTCTTCTTCTACTTTTTTATCATCACTTTCTTTTTTTTCTACTTCAACCTTTTCAACCTTTTCAACCTTTTCGCCTTTCTTACTATCATCATCACTTCCTTTCTCTTCCGGTTTACCTTCATTTTCTGACTTTAATCCAGCATTTGCTTTTTGAACTTTGATAAATTCATTTTTGAAGATAGTTGCATCTACAAAATAAATATTAAAGTGTTAGCAATTATAAATATATTGTATTATTATCATATTACGAGTATATTTCAACGAATGATTGGTGGTGATATATACTTTCGGTATTAGCAAATCTAATGGCCAATGTTTCTACTTTTGGTTCACCATCAGAAACGTCTGCTGTAACATTCCACACCCATGAACGATCTGATCCAACATTTGGAGAAAGTTGCATTTCGGGAGTGACTAGAAAAATAGACATGATGATGAATTGTAAATGATGATAAAATGATAAATTATTATGAATTGTGTTATATGTTGTGATTGTGGTTTAATTTTAAAATGTTTACCAATTAAAAATGAAATGATAAATAAATTATGTAAAAAATACTTACTATAATGATTTGCACATACTTTATATGTCTTATCACGACGCATTACTAGACGAACTTTTTTAGTTTGTTTATGTTGAAGAAAACGTACGTCTCCAGTACCACGTTCTTTCCATTCTTTCAATAATTTATCAAATCTGAACAATTTAGCTCGCCTAAATTAATTATTTGATTTAATCAAGTAAATAATAAATAATATAATAATAATAAATAACTTATTGTGGTAATAATCGTAATAATTGTAATAATTAATTTGTTTGGAAGCTCGTAGAGTAATAGATCACTTCTTTATATCTTATATCTTTACAGAAATTTCTTCCAATTTATATATATAATATACATGTATTTTTTATTCTTCAACAGTTTAGCTAACTTGCTATCAATTTAATACATTTTATGTATAATATGCAAGTGAATTTTTCTGTTGTTTCTTTTTTAAAAATTTTTTTTACCATTGATCTATTATCATTACTCTACCAATACCATTATCAATATTATAAATAGAATATTAATATTTACAACTCTTACATTTTAAAAAGAACGTCTTCGTCTTCTTCTAATGTTTTAACTTCAACCTCGTCCAATTTAACAAGTGGCTCAAAATGAATTTCTTGTGAAGGAACTACTTCATCCTATTATATATCAGATAAATGCAAGTGCAATAATCGATTATATCTTTTTGGTATGGAAAGTTTGTCTATTAAACGCGTCAAATCAATCAAGCAATCTTACCTCTTCAACTTTCTTAGAAGATTCAGCGACTGGTTTAGTTTCAGCGTCAGTCGTGTCAGTCATATCTTTAAATAAAGATTTCTTTTAATAAAGTAGTTTGAGATATCAATCTAATTAGATAATAGTTGATTTTGTTTAATGTATGTGTAGATAAAATAATAAATAGGAAAATTTTTTTTTAATAGCACATGTGTATTACAATTTAGTCAAGAGTTACACTGATGAAATGACAAATATCGTAACTAGTACAACTTTGGAAATTATCTGCGGAAAATTACTAAAATGTAACACAATCCCAAACATCAATATCAACAATAAAAAACGAAATTCTTCATCATTACATGGTTTGGGAAATATATGTTTTAAATAGTAAATTTATCAACATTATAACAATAAGTGTTATATGTCAATTTTTTGATAATTATTAGTAGTATAATGAAGGCCGTTGTGGTATATCTAGTCTTATCACGTCCGAAAAATTTAAAACACGGAAAACACACTGAATATATATTAATATCAGATATGGGTGTAATTCATCGTTTTCCATAAAACTCCATACATTTTCAGTGCAAAAATACACGGAAAAGCATCCTTTTCTGGTAAAGCTCAGGGTGTTTATGTACAATTTCGCCGCAGAATCGTAAATTAATCTGTGAAGCAATATCATTATTAACACGTGTAATTAGAGCTCTTGAAGAGATAGCACCAGTACCATTAGCATACACAGAATGAGATAATGTAGGTCTACTAATTGAACCACCATATCCACGTTCTTCAACCACAGGTGTATTTCTCACCATATACTTAACACCCGTAGTTCTTTGAAGAAGCCATTTCAAACCCTAGTGTTGGAGTGATAGTGGCTTATCATCCACCGATATTTCATGCTTTTAAACGGCTAAATTTAAATTATACCAAACAAAATATTGTTTTAAAATGTATTGCTGAGGAATTAGTGTTTATAGTCCTCATACTGTTGATTGTAGTGTTGGTGGAGGTAAGAAATTTGAGAAATTTTTATTAATTGATTTGATTGATTGATTGATTGATTTTTTTTTGATGGTTTGCTGGATGGGGTTGAAAAAGTAAATGTTTGATTAACTAAAGGTCTTGGATCAGGGACATCTATATCTTTGATGCCTAGTGAAAAACCACCTGCAGGTATTTATTTAGGTAGGCATGTGTAATATATGAATACTTATTATTAATAATGGTATTTTGTTATTACAGGTCACGAGGGAGCAGGAGCAGGCAGACTTTTCACATTAAAGACCAGTATCATTTTTAAACGAATTAAAAATCATCTAAAGTTAGAACATGATAAATATAATTGATCAATTGATAAAGATGATGATAAAGATATTAAAAATGATTTAGAAAAGAAATCATAAATATTAACAAAGAATAATTATACTGAAAAAAATCTATCAATTATTCATACATAATATTTATATAATTATTGTTAGTAAGCTGAAAAGCATAGACAAAAATCAACAATTGGAGTCTGGTAATTATAAATAAATAAATAAATAAATTTTATGAATAAAATTTTTATTTCTGGTGTTATTTCAAAAACCAACCCACATTCTCTCCTTCTAATTAAAGATGTTTCAGTGCTATCACCAGAAAAAGCAGATTAATATTTTACAGGAGAAATGTCACATCATGAAGTATTGGCAGCATTGGCAAAGGATAAAAGTGTATTTTATGTAAATATTAATTATTTAATTTATTTATTTCTAAAATTTAAACAATCTTTTCCTTTCCTCTCATTCCAAAAAAAAATAAAGGTGAACATACAAAACCCAAATTAAAAAAGAAGATGACGATAATCAAGATCAAGAAGCAAATATATTGTTAAGTCAATCAGATAAAGATTCTTTGGAAATAATTTATAATTTTTTAAAAAATTAACAATGTCAATTAAATCGTTGGATTCAAAAAAAAACATTGATTCGTTTCAAGAAGGAATAATATTGGTTTAAGTATCAATTTGATTTATTAAATAATGAAGTATAGTTTTTTTTATTTTTGTTATTAATAATGGTTTCTTAGGATTTTATTATGCCTTTATGGCAAATTTACGTTGTGGAAAATGAATAGCTTTAACATGAGCACTAGTTTTTAAAAAAGCGTTTTTTGTAAATAAAAAATTTTTAAAAAATTTTCTTAAATCAAAGTGCAATAATAATGATTACCGTCTAGTTTTCTTTGAAGCTTCATTCTAATCGATGTAAAAAGTGGGTATAAATATTAATGATTTTTTATTGATGTATTTTTAGTTCCCCAAAATAAAACTTACCTTGGTCAACTTTCTACGAATTGCACGGGTTTTCTTTGGTCTAAAATCAAGAGGTTTATATTTTTTACCTTTATAATAAAGACGAATTTGTGCACGTTGTGTTTGTGAAATAACTGTATTTACTCTTGCAATAGATTTACGAACTTCTCGACTACAGACGAGCAAATAGGATGATTAATTATCGATTAATGATAATTGATTTGATTGATTGATTAAAGATATACAAATATATTTAAAAATTTTTTACAAACATCTTTGTTAACTTTGATGCAGCGCCTCCAGCTATCTTTTGTACTTTAAGACTAGAAAGCTCTTCTTTAAGATCGCCAAGTTGTTTTGTTAATTCCTCCTTGGCACTATTACGAATTTTATAAGCTTTTACTGGTGCCTTTTGTTTTTTTTTTTTTTTTGTGATTAGAAAACATTTATATTTATTTACACTTATCAACATAAATCATTTGTGCAAAAGCACACTCGTGTATATGTATATAGATATTTACCATGATTTAATATAATTAATTGTCGAGAGGCTAAAATTATAAATAAAATAAAATTTTTAAAAAAAAAATTTTTTATGTACAAGAACATAAAATTGATCGACCAATCATAATTCAGCATAATATTTTTTTACTTTTTATTAATTTTAAAAATAAATGTCTTATGTACACATTAAAAATATATATATAATGATGATAATGGCGATATTGAATGATAATGATAGAAGAATAGAGGATTTTTTTAAAACATGTCATCATCTTTAAGGGTTGGAGGAATGAGAATTTTTATAGGTTATCAAATTTTTCATGTCATTCCTTAATTATAACTAGCCCTAGTCTAAATTTTGTAAATCTAAAATTATAAACTTGTCCAGAAATTATAAAAATAATAAAAAAAATTGAATATAAAGTGTTAAATAATGTTCAAAAAATTGTTTTTGTCAAATAATAATAATAATGGTGAGCCAGTCTCTAATCAATCAATATATTATTAGTTAGGTCCAATATCCAATTCCAAAGTTGTTAAGAGCTGCTGCTGTCACACTAGCACCAATTGCAGCACCAATTCCGGTCCAGAGTATACATCTTTTTGATCTAGAACAGGCACTGAAAAGGCCGTCGGGTTCGTCCGATTTTCTTTTGAGCGATTTGATTTCATCTTTGACATCGGGTTTAAGAACAGCTATTTCCTCGTGAATGTACGTCGTTTTAGTAGAAGCAACTTCCGTATTAACATCATCATGGTCACGATCAGTGGATTGTTGTGGTCTCTTTCCTTTGATGTCGACCGGTGACGAGTTGTCATTATCATCATCATTGTCACTGTTACTGTCGGTTAAACTCTTGTTGATATGGTTATTGATTGATTTATTTGTGATAGAGAAACGAACAGCAGCTTTTTTTTTGGGTTCTTTATAAGATGCTTGATCATTATCAAAATTGGTTTCTACTTTTACGTTTGAACCATTGATTGACTCAGTCTCATTACTAGATGTGCCATTTTCCTTGGAATCATCATGACTATTCTAATATAATTTTTTTTGTATGATTGAGTATATGTAAATATTTATTTATTTATTTGTGTATGCATTATGGATAGAATTTCCAAATTACCTTTATTCTTGATCTTTTTTTTGGGCTCACATACCACAAATTATCATGTTCAAATAATACAGACACACTATCATAAATTTCGTATCTTTCAGCAATATCACGTGCTGTTTCGAGACGTGGTGGTGAAGATGAAGAACGAGAGCATAGTAGCAGACGTAGTAGAACACGTAGTCGTAGTATTGAACAAGGAGGAGGATCTTCGAGATCACACAGATATAGAGATTATGATTATGATCGAGGACGTCGAGATCATGACAGATACAGAGGAGATCGGGAACGCAAGCGTAGTAGGAGTGATAGCCGTGAGCGTTATCATCATCATAGACGGCATAGAAGTTCTAGTCGTGATAATAAAGAAAGAGATTATGATAGTGGTAGACGCTCATCAGGTAATGACTATGATCGTAACAAAAGAAGACATGACGATGAAAGAAGTTATGAGCGTCGCAGAAGCAGAAGTCCTAAAAATTAATAAAGAAATTTTTACTTTTAGGTTTGGAGAGTATGGAATAATTAATTAATGTAAATTTTTATTTATTTTTTTTTTGAAAAAAAAAATAAAGAGAATATATATATTTACTACTTTATATATATATACACACACACACACACACACACGCACGCGCTATTATACTTTACTTCGAAAATAGAAATTAGATTGGGTATATAAAATAACATTTTTGCTTTTTTTTTGATTTTTATCTTTT